AGAGCGTCAGCCCGTGCACCAAAGGGTCTTGGGTTCGATTCCTGGTCAAGGGGACGTACCTGGGGTTGCAGGTTCAATCCCCAGCCCCCATCGGGGTGAGTGAGGGAGGCAACCAATCAATGTGTCTCTCTCACATCGATGTTTCTCTCTCTTTCTCTCCCTCCCCACCCCTTCCTCCCTTCCATTCTCTCTAAAAATCAATGGAAAAAATATCCTCGGTGAGGGTGAACAACAACACCCAAATAAAAAGGCACTGGCGGGCAGAGCAGACTGGGACGGGGGGGAAGGGGGGGTGTAATATGTGCCCATGTGCTCCGACAGTGTGTGTGCATATAGGACCTGTGGCTTTTATCGGCTTGTTAAAGGGCTGTGGCCCAGAGAGTTTAAGGATCACCAGAATAGACTTTACGAGCAACAACCGGGAGTCTGTTGTCCTTTCCGAAAGGGCAAAGTCGGAGACACATGCATTCGCTTAGCAGGAATCAAAGCCGGGATGTGCCGGGTGCACCGAGGCCGACCAGCAATGAGCACTCCCAACATGTCAGTCCCAGAGGAGGACTGGGCCCTCTGGAGGTGACTAGGGATTCCCAGCACCCATCCGTCTCTCCCAATGTGTTATGGTGGGAGAAGTAAGAATTCACTGAACTCACAAGCACACACAAGGAATCAAACTTCTGCTCTGACAGCCAAACACACCTCTCCCTTCTAAGGCTGGGTCAGCCCTGTCTCCATTCATTCTGTTAACGATGAACTTCGCTATCTCCCTCAGTAGAAAAAAGTAAAGAATCTAGTTGGCAAGCCTCTAGGCCAGTGATGGCGAACCTATGACACGCGTGTCAGAGGTGACACGCGAACTCATTTTTTTGGTCGATTTTTCTTTGTTAAATGGCATTTAAATATATTTATATATTTAAATATATATATATAAATATCAACAATATAAGTCTTTGTTTTACTATGGTTGCAAATATCAAAAAATTTCTATATGTGACACAGCACCAGAGTTAAGTTAGGGTTTTTCAAAATGCTGACACGCCAAGCTCAAAAGGTTCACCATCACTGCTCTAGGCAAATAAACTTGAAAATTCTAGATAGATGAAAAGAATCATTCCTTTGAAAGATACAGTTTACCAAAACTGACTCCAGTAGAAATAGACAGTGTAGACCAGCGGTTCTCAACCTGTGGGTCACGACCACTTTGGGGGCCAAACGACCCTTGCACAGGGGTCGCCTAAGTACATCCTGCACATCAGGTATTTACATTACGATTCATAACAGTAGCAAAATTACAGTTATGAAGTAGCAATGAAAATAATTTTATGGTTGGGGGTCACCACAACATGAGGAACTGTATTAAAGGGTCGCAGCATTAGGAAGGTTGAGAACCACTGGTGTAGACGGACTACTTCCCACAGAGACAAGAGAGAAAGTGGTCATGGAATCACCCCATAAAAAGACACTAGGTCCAGGTGACTTCCCAAGGGAATTCCATCACAACTTTAGGAACTTAGTACTCCCAACAACACATTGTTACTGAGCACAGAAACCAAAAGATACTTATACCTAATGGCACACAAAAAAAGGACATTACAGACAAGTATGGCTCATGAATACTGCTGAAAGAAGTCTTAAATGTTGTCAAACCCATGCAGGTCCCACCACCATAAGAAAGTAAGACATAGTAACCAAGTGAATATTTCCATGTCAGTCAACATACGATAGATCTAAGAAGAATAAAATCGTATTTTTCTATAGATGCTAAAAAGTTTGTGATGTAATTCAACTCCCATTCCTAAACACAACTCTCAAGAAAATAGGAATGGATGGACACTTCCTTGGCATAATTAAAAGGATACACCTCAGTCCTGAAGCCAACGCTAGAGACACCCCTGCTGGGGTTGGAAACAAGGACAATGCCCAGCATTTCTCTGACTCTGAGCTGGCTCCTGAAGATATCAGACAATGCCACTGGACAGGAGAACACAGCCAGAGGCTGCAGCTCAGGGAGGGCAGGGGCCAGGTCTTGTTCTTATTATATCCCCAGGGTATAACTCAGTAGTCAGTTGGATGAGTAAATACACTGGCTCACATTCACTGCGCAACTGTATTAACAAAACCAAGGGTTTAACACAATGCTAGTAGCCAATCACACTGTTGATTGTTTTAAGTGGACAAACAACCTTATGAGGTAAGTATTATGACTTCAGCCATTTGACTGATGGGCAGAGGTCCAGAGACGGTAAACGTCTTGCATTCCAGCCTTGCCATGGTGCAGGGCACCTTCCAAACTGGTTACATGTGTGTCCCATCCAGTGAGGGAACAAGGCCCCTCCAGAACGTCGGCTCTGGAGCAGGACGCCAGGTTCATACTTCAGTTCTGCTGTTCACCTGACGTGCTGAGAAGATTCCTTCCCGTTTCTGTGCCTTAGCGTCCTCCTCTGTAAATGAGGGTGCCAATCGTGCCCACCTGCCGGGGTAGAGGAGTTCCTACAGGAGCTAATAAATAGCGGCTACATGCTAAGCTTCCATAAAATGAGCCCAACGTCCCCCAAATTCCCTAGTACTTCACCAATTTCTGATGTCTGTCCCACCAGCAGTCCTTCTCCTTCCTTGGTTCTTGCCAAGCTGGCGCCCAGAGTGAAGGATAACACCTCACATGCATCCCCATTATACGGCCCCCCGGGACAAAGCTCAATAGCAAGAGAAGGGCCAGTGTTGGCCCGTGGGGAGTGCCACCGTGCAGAAGCAGGGAGAGGGGACTCCTGTTCACATCTGGGTGAGCCAGAGCCTGACACACATCTGGATCAGCTCACATCAGCCTCTCCAGGTTCCCTTCTAGCCATGACGTCTCTGTGCTGCCTACTTCCCGGCACGGTGTCCCTCTTTTACAGACTCCAGAGCACAACCCCTCATCCTTTAAGTCGGTGGCACACAGTAACTTCTTTCCAAAGAGCACATGTTGGGAAAGAGTAACTTGACAATGGAGAACCCAGAGAGATGCTACCTTGGCCGGGTGGCCGAGGTCAGCATCAACGGCGATAAATCATGTTGATACCTAGTGAGGATGTGACAGAAATGGTCACTCCCTCTATGGTCTTCCTCCCCAAAACTCATAGCCCCTGCCTAACCACGAGAAGAACATGAGAAAGACCCTAATTGTGGGACATTCAGCAAAACACCTAATCAGTGCTCCTCAAAATTGTCCAGCTCTGAGAAACAGGGACAGTCTAACCTGAATAGAGGATGGACTTTAGGTCATAATATTTATCATCACTGGTTCATTCATGATAACAATACTCATACATACTAATGTAAAATATTAATACTATGGGAAACTGGATGCTGGGTATATGGGAACTCTGTCTCATCTTTACAATTTTTCTGTAAAAATAAAACTGTTCCCAAAAAATAAATTTTATTTTTTTAAAAAACACAGATTTCGGGGGTTCACTGTGGTCATTTGGACACCCATCTGGCGGCCACCAAGTCCCACTGCCAAGAAAAACTATAAAAGGCACCTCCCATTAAATTTGGCTTGGAAACTATTTCCCCGGAAATCACCCCCTGCCAAAAAAAAAAAAAAAGTTAGCTGATTGTGAATCTGGGAGGGGTGTATTAGTTCCCTGCAAAACATGACTTTAATCTTAACGAACAGAAAGACCACTGATGCTAGAGGGATCATTTGCAGATTCTTAATCGTGTCTTTTCAAAGCAAAGGATGGGCTCCAGATTGCAACTCAAGAAGACTGGTCTCTCTTGCCGGCTAATTATTTCCATCTCCAGCCAAAATACAGGATAATTACTAATTACCGTCTTTACTTGGGGACCCCTGAGGTCGAAGCAAGCCCCTCACCTAAGGTGGCCAGTGAAGAGACATGGAAGGGAAGGGAAAACTTCTCATTCACCTGCCTAACAAGCATCTGGGGGCAGGAGGGCGGGGGGGAGCAAGTCCCACCCTCCCCCCCCCACCCCCACAGTTCAGGTTCTTGAAAAGGCCGCCTACACAAAGCAGCCAGCACAACCCTGCCTGACTCTGCAAACAGCAACGCCCCCACCACCACCCCCGCATCTGGAAGTCACCAGCAAGCCTGCCCCTAAGGCTTCAACAAGTATTGGCTGGGCTGGGCTGTCAAAATCAGGAAGCCTGGTTAGATTTTTTGTTTTTTTCCAAGACAACCTGCTAACCAGAAAAATGCAGTGAGGCTGGGTGTGCGGCCTCCTCCTCCTCCTGATGAAGGCTCCTGTTAAGCATGTGAAGTGACAGCCCAGCCGGGGCCGCCCAGCCCCAGCGGCAGAGGCACTTGGAGGCAGACTGACAGGTGCTGCCCCACCCCCCACCCCCGCCCCCTCCCAGCCCCCACATCCATTGTGACTGTGGGGTGCTGATGGCTTGAACAAGCGCCCACTGATCCCTGGGGTGACTGGCAAAGGCAGCAGCACCACCCAGGGAGGAAATGGGCCGGCCTCCTGACGGCGAAGTCAAACCACACTCGAGCATTAGACACAGACAGCCTCTTCCTTAGTTTCAACACCAAGTCCCCAACAAGCCCTCTCAGCCGCCGGTGCCTGCAGGGGAGGCGATCGGCTTTCACCTGCCTGATCCTGAGGTTCAGCGGCCACCTCCTTGGGCACCCGCCCCCCTCCCACTACCTCCATTCTCCGCTCCCTCCCCTCCTCCCTCCAAAGGCAACCCAATCGCTGGACTACCCAGCAGCGGTCAGGCGAGAGGCCAGCTGCGCCCCCTGCCACCACCTTCTGCCGCCCCTCCCACAGGGAGGCCATGGGAATTGGAAACTGACACCCTATGGGGCAAAGTGAGCCGACCGCCCCCTCAGGGTGGCAGCAGTCCCTGGCCTCGTGCCCTCCCTCTCGCCTCCTTGGGGAGAGGCACCCCTCACCGAGCCCCCAGAAGAGTGACAGCTGGAGCAGAGGGGCCCTGGCTCTCGCCCCAGGCCAAACCCCTACTGGGGGGCAAGGCCCGGGGGGGAGCCTCCACCGACCTTCGAGGGGGTTCAGATAGTCATAGTTGAAGAGGATGGAGAAGTCCAGCTCCTCCTGGGGGCTGCCCCCCGGCTCGGGGCCCAGGGCGTCCCCTCCGTCGGGGTCCGGCTGCGGTTCTGGGGCTTGCATGGCGCGCGAGGCGGGAGCGCTGCGGGCCGGGGCGAGGGCGGGCGGCTTTCTCCCGGGCCCTGGCCGGGGTGCCAGGTGCAGGAAGCGGGCGGAGCGGCGGGCGGAGCGGCGGGGTCACTGTCCTCGCGGGAGGGACGCCGGGTCGGGGATGGCGCGCCGGGCTCAGCGGGTCTGGACGCGCCGGGAGCTCAGCAGCGCAGCGGCGCGAGCTTCCTGCTCCGGAGGCACCTGTTGCAGCCCCGGGAGGGGGAGGCGGGGACAGGGCGGCCGGGCCGGCGGGGGCGGGGCGCCACCCAGGCCGGGGGAGGGAGGGAGGGGGGAGGGAGAGGCGGGTGGCGGGGCTGGCCAGCGCCCTAGGAAGGAGGCCACCCGCCCGCCCTGGCCCCGAGCTCAGGCACGCGCTGGGGCCCCTGCCATCCACCCTCCTGGCGGGTGAGCGCTGCTGGCCCTGGGCGACCCAGGAGCCCGGGCAGAAAGCTGCTGCCACTAAGTTTTGCCCCGTGTGACCAGCGGATCCGGGCTTTCCCGCTTTTCTTCTTCTGGGGGCAGATCTGTGACTCCTTGTGCCTCTGTGTGCCCTCAGCGTGGAGTGCTGTCCACCTAGCGTTGTCACCTGCATGCCCCTAGCTCCGTATTCCGGGGCCTGGGAAAGAATCATACTCCCAGCACAAGCCCCACCTAGACCTCCTGGCCACCTATCGCGCCAGGTGCCAGGCACCCAGCATGAAGGGGACCCAGCCCTGGAGAAGCTCTGGTCCTGCTGGGGGGAGAGCCACGAAGGAGATAAACAGGGAACAAAGATGGTCCCCTGTGAGGCACCAGGAGAGACCTCACCAGGGCTGTGGGGTAATGACTGGGGCTGGGAGGATCAGTCATTTCTGTGGTCACGGAGGGCCTCTCTGGGAAGGTGTCACTGGGGCGAACCTGGTTGATGGGTGGAGCCGGGGGAAGAGTGTTCAGCAGTGGAAACCCCCCAAAAAGCAACAGCCAGCAGGAGCTGGGCGTTACAGGCTGAGCAGGAGGGCAGGGCGGGGGCGCACGGGCCGCGGGTAGCAATACACCTGAGTGCTTGTTCAGAACAGATAGATGGGCAGGCCCCTCACTGGAGCTCCTGATTCCAGGAGTCTTGAGAGGAGGCTCAGGGGTGTGTGTTTGTAAGCAAGCATCCCAGGTGAACGTTAAGGACGGGGACATAGGGGGAGCACGACCTCAAAGCCCAGAACCAGACCCCAGGGGCTCTTAACCCAGGCTCCACATTAGACTCACCTGGAGCACTGTTCACACCAGAGATCAGTTATGATCAGAATGTTTGAGGGTGGGGCCTGGGCCTCCGGGTTTTGTAAAAGCTCCCAGAGCCTTCCAATGTGTGGCCAGGGGTGAGAACACCCGGTTTAAACTCAAACTCCATTCCAGGGGCCTGGGCCTGGCTCAGGACTCACCAATTTTCGGAGTCTTGGGAAGTGCTTTCTGACTCACAATATAAAGAAATCCCTGATTTGTTACCTAACCACAAGCACAGCTCTCCTGGGAGTATCCAACAAGCATCTAGGAGGGGCTAAATGTAGGTGGGGGAGGGGAGATGACGAAGGCTAGGACACCAATAGAAGTATCTAGAACAGTGGTTCTCAACCTTCCTAATGCCACGACCCTTTAATACAGTTCCTCTTGTTGTGGTGACCCCCAACCATAAAATTATTTTCGTTGCTACTTCATAACTGTAATGTTGCTACTATTATGAATTGTAATGTAAATATCTGATATGCAGGATGTATTTTCATTGTTACAAATTGAACATAATTAAAGCATAGTGATTAATCACAAAAACAATGTGTAATTATATATGTGTTTTCCGATGGTCTTAGGCGACCCCTGTGAAAGGGTCGTTCGACCCCCAAAGGGGTCGCGACCCACAGGTTGAGAACCGCTGGTATAGAAGAAGGTGGATTCTCTCGGCCCTAATGACAACACCCAAAGTCCGGACCCCGAAATTTGGTCAGAGATAAACCAGGAACAAGCCTGCCTTGTGCTGTAGACCAGGAGGAAGCCTGGTGTCGCCCTCACATGTCCCTTCTCATCTCCCCACTCCTAATGGGTAAATGCCTCCACTCTCCTGGTCCCGGGTGGATTCTGCCCACCCAGAAGCCCATTCCCCCTTCTCCCAGTAACAGCACTCCACGGTGTTCCTTTGGGAAGCTGCTTGGTTCTACCTAAATACAAATATCTGAGGAGTACCGCCCCCGCCCCCCAGCCCCAATGCAGGTGGCCCTGAGTCCTGAGACCCCTTCAAGTCGGTCCCTTCCCCCTACTGGTATAAAGCTCATTTTTATCTACAGCCTGAACTTCGCCCCTGAAATTTGGGCTCAGACACTGCACTGTCCACCCAACATCTCCATTTGGGTATCCAACAGGTTCCTCAGAGTGGATGTGTCCCACCAAACACAATTATCTTCTGAAACTTCTCCCATGTCCCCAGCTCAGATATCGCCCGAGAGTTCAGCCAGTTCTTCGACCAAACACCAAGGAGTAACCCTGGCTTCCTCTCCTCTTTTCACCCACGTGCAAACCCTCAGCAATTCCAGGAAGCCCCATCTTCACAGTGGAACCCAAACCCAACCCTTTATCACCAACTTCACCGCCCTCCCTCCCACCCCAGTCAACCCCAGTCCCATCATCTCTCACCTGGCCACTGCGGGAGCCTCCGGCCTGGGCTCACTACCGCATCTGCCCTTGAGATGCTTTCAAACAGACATCCCGTAAGCCCTCCCGTGGCTTCCCATCTAGTTTAAAGTTAAATACAAACACCTGGCCCCCCGGCTCTGGGAAGCTGCCTCCCCCTCGCCCCCCAGCTCTCCTAGGTATCCTGTCGTTGTCCCCTTCTCTTACTGCCTCTGCCACCTGGGTCGTCGAGCTGCGTTCTACTAAAAGCCAGAACCCAAATCAAGGTGTGGGATGCAGGAAGATGCGCCATGTGACAGCAACACAAGTCACAGGTCTGCAGTAGTTCGGCCACACCCACCCTGCAGTCACAGAGGGTGGGCAAAAGTAGGTGTACAGTTGTTTGTATGGAAAATAACACAATACTTAATAAATAATAATAATACAGAATAAACTCTGTTTCCTGTACTCACAACTGTAAGCATACTTTTGCCCGCCCCGGTATTATGTTTGATCTGCCCTGTAATTTTTTAATCTGAACTAACATTGTTTAATTAGATTTCATATAAAAGTTAACATTTGCAATGTCTCGTAATAAGTGGGAAGATCTGGCCACGGCAACAGGCCCGCATCACCTGGAGCTGAGTAGAGGCCACCCCTTCAGATGAGTCCGTGGCTCTCAGGGCCCCACACACCCCGCCCCGCTGCCCCCCTGTGTTCCCATGAGCCCGCAAGCTTGAGACCCTGATCTCCAGGCTCTTGACTCCTTTCACGGGATTTGTTTCTCCTTTTCGTTCCTTGTGGAACTAATATTTAACAAGGGGACATGGTCAGCAAACTCCCCTCTCCCTGAGACTGCTGTCCTTGCCTGTCATTAAACAGGAGGTGCCAGCACCCGCTGAGCAGGGGCGGGGGCCTCATCTCTGTTGCAGGGACCTAGACAGGAAATGCTGAGCCAAAGCCCCAAGGGCAGGCGCGGAGGCTGGTCAGTTAGGGCACGGCGCATTGGCGAGTCTTGTCCACCCCACAACTCTCTCTCAAACCTCCGCCTTCATGCTGTCCCCACTGTCACCCTCTGTCACCCAGGCTGGCTTCCTAAATGCCCGCACCCCCCAGTACCACGTGTCTGCCCCATCTCCGTTCTCTCTCTTGCGGGGGTCTTTGCAGACTCTGACATCTGCGTCAGTTTCACAGTCTTTGAAATCAGGGAGTGATTTCAGTCAATGATGGGACTGGGATGACTGGGGCGGGAGGGAGGGCGGTGAAGTTGGTGGTAAATGGTGGGGTTTGGGTTCCACTGTGAAGGTGGAGCTGCCTGGATCTGACGAGTTGTGAGGACAGTGAACTAACAGTGAAAATGGCAGTCAAGATGAACAGACCGCTGAGAAGGCCACAGACATGCTCTGGTGCCCCCAGGTGTAAGGATCCCTGTCGCCCCCACGGAGGCACGGAGGAGGCTGTGTTACTTCTGTAAGTCACACGTGCCACCATAGACATGGTTTTGTCCCATGCGAATCTGAGACTCATTACTGAGTCACATTTTTCCTGGGCTATTAGCTAAGGGTGGATTTGCTAAGGGACATGTTTGGACCAAGATGAAACGCTCAAAAAAAAATCTTATGACTCCCAGTGATAGCAGAGGGTGAGGAGAGCTGGCACGGGGAGTCTGGGCCGGGTCAAGAGGAAGGCACGTCTGGCGTGGCTCATATTATTCACAAAATCAGTGGCATATACCCTCGGGTGTCAAAGACAGGGAACATCCCTGCAGAACTCCAGGGCTCACGGAGCGCCGCTTGAGAACTGCAAGGAGAATGCACTATGGGCTAGAAAGTACCACTTGTCGCCTCCTCCCCACCCAGGCCCCAGCCACCGTCATTTCCTGCCTGGGCCACTGCAACAGCCTCCCACCAGCACTCACTCTCACCTGCCTCCAGGTTGCTCTGCACTCAGTGGTCAGTACAACCCACAGGCTCCCACCCCTGCTGCTTAGAATCCCCCAGTGCCCACCCCACCCCCCATTGCCCTGAGAATGGACTGCCAACTGCTCACAAGACCCTGCACGATCCTGCTCTGGCCTGTGTCCATGATCTCATCTCCCGTCACAATCCCCAACCCCTACCCCTGCCTTTTCTGTTCCAGCCACGCGTCTCCTTGCTGGTCACTGACTATCCGAAGCACACCTCTCTGCTCAGGGCCTTTGCACATGCTACTTCTTCTGCTGTGGACGCTCGTCCCCCAGACATTTTACAGGCAGCTCCCTCGCCATCCAGAGGTCAATGAAAAAGACCTCCCTTTAGAAAGCAAGGGACCACCCACCCTGAATTAGCAATCCCTGCTGCTCTGGGTTGACCTGTGTCCCTCCCCAAAAGGATGTTCGAGTCCTAACCCCCTTCCTGTGAGTGCGATCTTCTTTGGAAAAAGGGTCTTTGCAGATGTCATCAAGTTAGGCTGAGGTCGTTAGCGCTAAGGACTCTCATCCAAGGACTGGGGTCCTCATGAGAGGACAGGAAGAGGCTGTGTGACGATGGGGACAGAGAGCGGAGTGATGCACTGACAAGCCAAG